AATTAGGGAAGTTTTATGGGTTACTTGCAATATGGATGGAAAGGGAATTTTTTGTAATGCCTTGCTAAATCTGGAAATTAGAGAAAAGAAGAAAAGATTGGAGCAGGCAGGTGGGGGAAGAAGGGGAGGTAGGATTTTTCTTTCTGATAATTTCCACGCTTAGGTGGCCAAGAGCCCAAAATGTTAGGATGGCTTCACAATGAATAGGCTGAATGAACCACACTTGATAGAATCATGGTTTCCAGGTTGACATGTGGATTTTCCTTGCAACAGAATTGGATAGCTGTGGGTAGGGGACGGGGGAAGGCACCATCTGTCACCTTTCTCCTACACTGGAAGTCCCATGCAACACTGCCTCAGCTGCTTTCTCTGCCTCCAGGCTGGCACCTCAGAAGTAGAAGATGCAGCAGAAACTTCAGACTGCTTTTCCCACTGGCCAATATCTACACAAAATGGAATCGGGGCTTGGCCTGCCTAGGAGGACTTCTCAACCAAGGCCAACACCGGAAAAGGCACTCAGAGCTCAATGCCTGCTGCTGTCTGGAGTTCATCTTTGAAGTAGCTCTCAAAAACCCATTCTTTCTATTTTTAACCAGTAACAAATTTGTAGTCTTAGAGTTTGTGGATTACCTAAGGTTAATAAATGAGGGACTCTGCCCTCCGTGGTAAATCATAGCAAGGTGGTATTCTGCTCTGTTCAAATGAAAAGGAGAGTTCTAAGAGCGAATTAGTTGAACTGTGAGCAAAACCAGAAAGCTCAGGTGTACTGTTCTCCCAAGGGGGAAGAAATTAGTGGGAAGGGTAATTTCTGTTGCTGACCACCAGGTGGTGCCTCTAGGCTAGAATCAGTACTCAGAAGTGAAGGTATGACTCTCCTGCTGACAAGGATGTTGATAAACAGGGGATTATAACTTGATGAGTAACTGGTACAGGAGATCATTAGGATATGGGCTGGATTGAGTACAGTGCCTATGAGATAGTAGTAGTAGGTGTTTTTTGTAAATACTGAACCAAATTGATAACTATGGAAATGGAATAGACAATGGAAACCCAAAGATTTGCTTGGGAGAGCTAGTAAGATAATGTTCATTTTCCAATAAAACAATTGAAAAATTGTATTGTTTGATGAAATCAATAGGGACCTCTATATTCTGTATATTTAGATAGCTGACATTATCAAAGGGAACATTTTATTCCCTGTCAAGGGAATAATATGAGGCTGGAAAAGTAGGAATAAGTCAGAGATGAAGATGTATTTTGGCTTTTTAATTGTTCTCTATTAAAAGTACTTCATAGAGCAAAATGTGGTTGCCAGAGCATGTAATTTTTAGGTTTATCGACCCCAGCTCAGAAGTCCAGAATGTGTGTTTCCTTTAATATAGTATATTTACGCTATGGCTCAAAAGATACTGTGATTATCCTCAGTGTGTTGACATTTAATATGGTCGTCCTAAGAGTGAAATTAAAGGTGTAGATAGGGTGTTCTTAACCTTGGTAAATTTGTCATGCAGTTTATCATCATAGGGATGCTTCTTAAAAAAAAAATTTTTTTTTTTTTTTTAAAAATCTGAGTTACATTCCTTCTGTTCCAAGCAGCAGGTTTTATAATGAAGGCTCAACGTAGTATAAATACACTGTCAGGTTCACTCTTTAAGTTCAATTTAACCTTTTCCTTTATATTAGAAAATAGAAACAGACTTTAGAGTAATTAGACCTCTAAAGGAATATAGTAAGTGACCTAACTTCTGCTTTCTACTTTTATTCACAAGAGATTTGGGTACTTTATCAGTAGCCTTGAATCTTAGGATTGAGGGAAGAGAATTTTGGCATGGAAAGTCTACCACTCTTTTGTTTATCCAGAACACTGTTACAGGGTCTTGCCTTGTAACTGTTAGCTTCTAGACTCCTAGGTAGAGATACAGAGAGACATAAGAACAGACCAGAATCATATATAAGGTAATCACTAGAACAGATTGATTTTTCTTCAGAGATCATAGTATAACATTTTATCTCAAGAAAGGTGACTTTGGCCAAATTAACACAATGTTGGGCTTAGTAAGTATTTGTTAAAAATTGACTTATTTTGATGTTACATCATCATGACCTATGATCTTGTCAGTCAGTGGGAGCAGACTACATTTCACTTCTGAACTTTCATACTTCAGAGTCACTATATATATATATATGTATATATATATGTATGTATGTATGTGTGTGTGTATCACTATATATACGCATATACATATATATTATGCATTAATTTATGTCTCATTTTTATAGACAGATTTTGAAAATATATTAATAGAATCATTTAACATATATAAAAGATGTTTAAAATTTTATGACAGCTCTCTTTACAAAAAGAATTAACAAGGATTTGTTGGTTTATAGGTTATAAAAATATTCGTATTTCTAGCCAAAGGTCAAGTCAAATATTTATTAAGAACTGACAAGTATATTTTATCATAGTAACATCTTACTGGGATGAGCCCTGACCCAGATTTCAAAATTGTAATAATGAGGAAACGAAGAATTAAGAAACGTTACATTACAAAATGAATCTCTTGCAACACAAGTGATTTTCAGCCAGTAGATCACTGGCTGTTGCCAAGTGATTAGCAAAGACTCATAGGGGTAATCCTAACCAAGCTTCTCATTTTCTAGGTGCAAGATATTAAAACCTGCCTGAAGTTATACAACTAATTATGAGTGCTATTACAGATCCCTGGGTTACCTCTGATTTTGTGTTCAGCATTCTTACCTCCTTACCCTGTTGACCATGTCATAGAATCAAAGAACACTAGTTCTGTTGAGCAGGGGACAAGAAAAGGGAAAAAGAAAGTTTTTCCTCTTCAGATATTGGTAATGAGACCAGCTTGTTTGGAAGAGGTTAGAACTCTAACAGCAGTGACAAAGGCTGATTTCATCACTATCTCGTTTGGTTTCTTTTTTTCTTTTTGGGGGGTGCGGTTCTTATGTTATTACTTTTAAATAACTTGTCATCTTTTTCAGATGAGTAGCAGTGGAAATAAATAATGATTCTCTAGAGTTATTTTAATACTGTTCATTAAAATATGAGCAGTAACATTTTGGATTCTCAGATATCTAAACAAAATAATAAGAAAAAAGTAATTAATTATTTACAGTATCTAAGATAAAGCCTTTTCGATTTCGTGAGATAGCCAGTTAAATAAACAGTCTCCATGGAGCTATTTCTGCATTGTGAGGTTGACGGATATGGTGGGAAAAGAGAGCTCAAATTAAGTCTCACATTAACCACAACATAATGTTGCAGAATTATAGTTAAGAATTTTAAGACTCATTTAATAATTGACAATTTTTTTCAATAAATTACTACCAAGGTAGTTGGTAGTAATCTTTGTAGGAATGTTTCGTGGAAATGAATTTGTTTTAATATCATTATATGGGATCATACTCAGCTCATTGAGCATATCATGTATGCAAGTCTCTCTCTCTCTCTCTCTCTCTCTCTCTCTCTTTCTCCCCGCCCCTCTCTCTCTCTCTCTCTCTCTCTCTCATTTAAGTCGCATGTGAGCTTTTTGAGGTAGATCCGATCTCCATTTTTACCAGCGAGGTAATAAGAGCTTAGGGAAATATTTAAATTTGCCTAAAACCAGAGAGCTAATATGACTGAGTCTAAGTTCTTTGCTTATTCAACACAGCACAAATGACTCAATATTGTAAATTTTTATCATGTACTTAGTGTGAAAAGTGTAATATAAAGACAGAGAGTATAGAAGATGTTAGAAGGATCTAGACTGCCAAAAAGTTGCTAACCTGCAAATTAGTTGAAAAATACATCTAAGTAAACTATTTTTCCTAAAACCTTAAGGAAAAAACTGAAACAAATATCTTAACAAAGCAAGATTTGAAGCCTGATAACTAACTGTTATAGTAGAGAAGAATAAAATAGAAATTTAGGTAAAAGAAATAAAAATTTTTCATTGCTTTCCATATCTTGTTAAAAGACCACAAGAGAAGTCACCACAATTTTCCTAACCTCCAAACAATGCATTAAAGTAAGAAAAGAAAGGTATTTGGTTGATTTTTCTTTGCTTCCAGGTAATCTCACTAGCAGGTAATCTAGTAGTTAGTAGCAATGATAATTTTTAATTCTGTTTTTGGTTATTTTTCCCTTGCCAAGTTGTTGTAGCCATCTGGAGGGTTAAAAGAAGAGTATTGAAGTTTCACTTTTCTTTTTGAGCCTTTTATTAATACAACATCTTAGGCTGGGAGGGACTTCTATTGTCATTTTATTCAGCTCTATAACATTCTCCCCCAGTGGTTATCTGACCTAAGAAGCCCATTCTACTTGTGGATGCCTCTCTTAGACAAACCCAACTTATTAAACTGAAATCTGGTTCCCTATATTTCTCCAATTAAGGCCAGTCAGAATATGTAATGCCTCTGCAGGCTTGAATTGCTTTCACATTGTGTGTCTTTGAATAGTTCTTTCCCTGGGTTAATATTTCTTAGTCCATGGGATATTCTTTTTTTATTTTTAATTCAAAAAATATTTATCGATCAAGCATTCTAAGTGTTAGAATGCAGTAGTGAATCCTCAATACAGACACTATTATGTGAAGTATTATTATCTCAAAAACAGTAAGTGAGGAAACAGAAGATTGAGGTTGAAATCATTTGTCAGATTCACTTAGAAGTTACTGGATGTCAGGAACAACTTTTTCTAGCTCCAGAACTCATGCTTTTGACCATTATTCTTTGCTGGTGTGAGTCTTCTTGCCAAAAATAATCTTGTAGCTATCAGTAAGTCCTGGAGTAGATAACTCAGAGAGAAAGCTGACTTAAAGAATGGCTTAAATATCTCATAGCTAGGAGATTCTGGGGTTCCTTGAGATGCTTGAATGAATTTGGAGCCTGTGTTCCCCTGAGAAACTTTAAATCAAGTAGATTCTTGATAGTCACAGACTTAAAATTGTGATTTTAACAATTCTCTAAGGATCCCAGAAGTCCATGAAAAATATGAATATTATTTTTCAAATTTGAATATTTTCCTTATTCAGGGGCCACAATAGTCTTCTCCATATTGATCTAATTTTAGTATATATGCTGCTGAAACAATCACTAAGGTATTCTTTCACATCATAATTTTGAATACTCAGTCATACTGGTCCATATTTTTATTTTTCGCAAAACATTGCTTTAATGTCTGGTGATCTCTGAAACCCAAAGAAATTTTGTCTTAAAAAAATAATTCCCAGCTCAGAATAATAGAAATTTTAGTCTACTGAGGCAAAAGAATACAGTATTTCTCAGGAAATCAGATGTGGTGATGTGGGATGGTCTGGGTCTATAGAGGCCTAAGAAGAAGAAATTCTTGTTAGCAGTTTCTTTCTTTTTAGGATAGTAAGATAGCAAATGTTCCTTTTCCATCATATTTGTGATTTCCTGATCTTCTTAGACTTCGCATTGATTTTTTTTTTTTTTAAGTAATATTCTGAAGTGCTAGTACTTCAGTTGAAGTTGTTAGTTTTGATCCTACAATACACACTTGTAATCTGGAAAGCATTATATATGACACATTTGAATATTGCTTTCCTGGTTTGGGGTGAATTGTTTTAGTTTGAGAGAAGTTTCCAGATTTGATTTCTGAGCTAGAGTCTTAATTAGATGTTGACCATTTTATTTGAACTTAAACCTCCTTTTTAGTTAGTATCAGTACCAGGGAATTAATTCATTTACTAATTTACTTGGGAAAGATGTTAGGAAGCTTTCGTACCGTGATTTCTAGAGACCTTCTGCTGATAACTTCTGGTACTACTGAGAGAGTAATCTTTGATGAAATTGCTAATTCTTCTGCATTGTACTAATGATTCTTACTGTTCACAGTGTATTTTAAACACAGATTTCTGGGTTAATCCTAATACACTTCCAAAGTCTTATTTTTATTTACCGACCAGGTTATGGAACTAATTCTTAACAAAGGTTGGCCTAAATTCTGAAATTTGCAGAGATTCCTATGGTTAGTAAATAACTTCAGGATTTTTGCTTTGGTCAGTAGCTTGTTTTGGTTTTAAATAACAGAAAGTTGAAAATGTGCCTTGAAAACCTAATGTAATCTAAATGTGCTTTCCTTTTTAAAGACTCTAGATATGGCAGCTTTCCAAAGACTCATTTTTCATTTTGTTGCCTTATTTTTAGAATATTACTTGTGATAATATGAACATTTTCTTTAAAAACAAAGTATTTCCTATATCTGGTCAATAAAGCATTTTGTTAGTATGATCTAAACAGTAGTATACTTGAAAAGCTAATTTCAAGGATAACAATGTCGTGTAAATATTAATTGAAATGGACTTGATATCTTCTTGGGATCACTTCCAATGTTAATATTTTGAGGAATTGGCCAAGGCCTTTAAATGTAGATAAATTCAGTCAAAATAGTCTTAAGTTTTAGATTCAGGTTGGAGGGATGATGAAAGATGTCCTCATAGGTCTTTATTTCCCTCTGGGGGTGTGTATGTGTTCGTGCACAGTTGTTGGATGCATTTTGAATGTGTAATAGAGAGCCAAATAATCCATTTTTCTGCTACTAGCTCTGCACTTTATTGCCAAGAGAATTATTATTTTATTATTATTTTTTTAATTTTTATTTTTTTATTTTATTAAGTTTATTGGTTAATACAGTTATATAATTTTCAGGTGTACATTGTAATTTGACATCTGTATATTCTATTGTGTGATTACCACCCAAAGTCCAGTTTCCTTCGACTACCATATATTTGATCCCCTTTACTCACTTCACCTTCCCCGTCCCCCCTATGTTTGACTCCCTTTACCTTGTCTATCTCTCCCCTCCTCCCCCACCCCCTACCCTCTGGTAACCACTATATTTTGTTATTTTGAAAGACTATTTGGGTGCCATTAAGTTCTGATGATAAATAATTGATACCTGATTGATGATATACTTATTATGAGTATTTAATATCTATTGTTGATTCATAATTATATAGGTAGATCCCCATGACCTATTTCTTTTTCAAATAAAGGGCATTAACTATTGAGTGTAGTGGACTCCAAATTATTTTCTCACCTATACCTTTTAGCCTGTCTCCAACATTTTTATATTTAATTGTAAATCATACACATATAATTGTTCCTATATATTATATACATCATATAACAAAAAATGAAAGGATCAAGTACAAAATATAGATGGAAATTATAATGTTTTCTTCCCACAACCCATTGGATTATCTTGCTTGTATCTTATATTTAGACCAAGATTAAAAATTAGAATAATTCCCCTCTAAAGAACTTTTGGAAAATATTAAAATCATTTATACTTGCCGTAGGAATGCGACACTAAAACAATAAAGGAACATATTTTACAATAGAACTGTCTAGCTTTGAGGTAGTCTGCCTTGGGATGATCAGGCTAAGGCTGGAGAACTACATATCATGCATGTGGTAGGAAATGTCCGTGACTCCAGTTGAAAGTTGGATTAAACAACTTCTGATATTCTTTCTAAGATTCTGTGACTTTTAATAGGAATTCACAGGTTGAACACTTAGTTTTAAAACACTGCACGAAAGTTGGGCTGTGGGTGAGGATTTGGGTCAGGAATATGCTGGGAAATTGTTCAACTTCTTTATCCAAATCTTCTGCTCAGAACTTCTCTGCTGTCTTCTTTAGAAATTTGATGGTTTTGGATTCTCAAGCCATCTCCACAAAGGAAAAAGTTGTAAGGCCTTTTTTTTAAGCCCGAAGCCTGATTATATGGGAGAGTAAATATATAAGTTGTAAGGAGTTCCAGCAATGACCTTTATCACTTAACTCTGCTTCATTATACCAAAAGAAGAGAAAAAGAAACATTAAAGGAGGTGTAGAATGCATATACAATATTTTAAAGTGTATGGTATCACAGATGACTAAGTAAACATTTTCAATTTGTTAATTCCCTCTAACATAAAAAATTACTATTTTAGAAAGAATAATCTATTCTGCAGTAGAAATTGAACAGCTTCACTTTTATAGCTCAAAATTGTATTACCTTAAAAACAAAAAACTTACTTCCCCACTCCTTTTCTTTTTCTTTTTTCTTTTCTATGAGAGAATGGTGGTTTTGTGAAATCCAGCTAGCAAAGTCAGCAATAAACTTAGGGCTTCTTTGCATCCTTATCTTGATTTGAGCATTGTAAATGTGACTGCAGTGCTACAGAGTGACTGCTTAAGTTTCTGTCTTGGTGGTGGTTTTCTTTCCCGGTTTATGTAATACCCTATACTCTTTTATTGTTATCACAGAGACAGAAGTCTTTCACCAATGAATCTAAGAGTCTCAAATACGAGAATCACCAAAACTTGAGATTGTTTTTTAAGGCTAATCCTGCATTTATTGAGAAGATTTCTACCTCAGCAGCACTTTCCTTTTAAAAATAAAATATCCAAGATAAATGGCCATAAAAGTGAAAGAAATTCCTAATTCTGATCTGTTTACTTCTGAGTATTTCTTTATAAGAAGCCTAATAATGGAGTAGTGCATCAGAGGAACTGAAGATTGGTGTAACCTCTTCCATGTGGTGGTTCTGTGGAAATGTTTTTTAGAACTTAAGTGAAATGGAAACTTACTAGAGCACATACAATTTTAGGGAGCATACTCTTGATTTATTAATAGAAGTCTCATATGTTAAATAGCTATGTACATGCACATTTAAATAAGTACCTTATCATAATGTAGGGCTAGAATATCGTAAACACTGTTTTCTGGCTTAAGTTCACCAGAGGCTTTCCAATATTAAACTTGTTTTTGACGATTGTAGGTCTTTCAGGGCACAACTATACATTATTCTATGCAAAAGAACAACAGTGAGTAGGTTTTCTCTTCTTTGGAACTGTTGTCTGCTACAAGGATGCAGAATAGCTAAAGAAAACAATTACCCACCTTGTTATTCTAAGTGTGATTGTTTTCATCTATTTTTTAGATTCCTTAGGTGTCATACATTGTCTTTATGTAATTTATGATGAGTTATACCAAAGAATCAAGTTTAAGCAGATAAATACTTGCGAGATTAATATATTCTTCCTAAGAATGTTTGCCCAGAGGGCCTTAGGGTATAGGTTGAACTTGCTTATGTTTCTCTGCAGAAATGGAATGCAGGCTATTTTCTATTGTCAGACATTTAGTTTTGTGAGGATGGGAATAAAAGTATTATGATCCAAATGTAGCTCAGGAGAATTTAGGCTGCAGTATAACTTACCGGACTTGGATCTACATACTAGTTTGTAATTTGTAGCCCTTGTTTTTTGTTCGTAGTTCTATGTCATCTTTTGTGGATTGGCACAGAAATCAAGACTAGCTTGACTGTTACATCTTGTTTTCATCCTTGTGAGGATTTGTAGCTCTAGTGTTTTACTAAATAAAGTCAATTTGAATAAATAAATTTTCTGATTTAGATGAGTCACACTTTGTCACATCTAGACTAACTTTACTGAGTAGTTTTATTTTTACTCTTTTAGTGGGATTTGTATAAAAACAAGGTTAAAAAAGAACAAGCTGCCATTGAAACTGGCACAAATTTTTTTTGCAAAAGGCATTGATATTTGTATAAGGAAAGAATATTCCTGTGTCTCTCTCCTTAAATACATAGAACACTTCACTTTTAGTTACCAAATGTGTGGTTCCACCCTCCACACCAGTCAGTTTTCTAGAATACCAGTTGTGTGTCCTACAGTTTAATAGAGTTCTGATGTTATCTGAAGATAGTGTCAGATTCCACAGATTAAGAGCTTAGTCCCACAAGAGTGCCTCTCCTCCCCCTACAGCTTCCTATCGCAAGTCCAGGATTTCACGTATGTTTCTGACCAACTGGCTATAGATTGGAGGTTCCCCAAACCCATTCCTTAGGTTTGATTAATTTGCTAGAGTGGCTCACAGAACTCAAGAAAATATTTTACAGGTTTATTACAAAAGGATATAACTCAGGAACAGCCATATGGAAGAGATGCACAGGGTAAGCTTCCATGCTCTCTCCCAGGACCTCCGTTCACCGACCTGAAAATTCTCCAAACCCCATAGTTTAGGGACTTTTGTGGAAGCTTCATTACATAGGAACGATTGATT